TTATCCTCTCCTGTGACAGTCCCACATCTCTGCTCTCCGGGTTTCCAGGAAAAACTGGAGAAACACGCTTAAGCAAGCCAAGAACATCTCTGCTGCCAGCCTGTTCCTAGGAACTGTGCTGATACGTATGAAGTAGAAGGAGAGCAAAGCAGCAAGACTTGCTCCCGTCGCAGCTTTACGGGTGAGACGTGCACAGTGCAATACCCCAAGGGTGTTTCCTAATGCTAAAGCCTGGGCACCCTGGAGGGAGCAGAGAGCCAAGGCCAGGCTCTGTCCAGAGCAGCATCCCTCACCCCTGCACACCCAGAGCATGAAACTTCTGGCGAGGGATTTGCTGCTTCACATTTTAGAGAGCAGACATCACTTGCTGCTGCAGTGTCCCACTAACGTGGCCATCAGGGGCTTAAAAAGCCTGAAGGCCTCTGGGCAATGAGTGGTGTTTATTAGCAGTGGTGTTGGGGCCCCATTCTGCCACATCTGTCACCCCACTAACTAACTACAGAACCATAGAATCACAGGGTGGTTTGGGTTTGAGGGGACCTGAATGCTCATCCATTCACCTTTTATCCCAGCCTGGCACAAGGGATGTGTCCCATTCTCTTTGCATCGGAAGCTGCCCATGGGGGGCCTGGGGAGCTTCCACCTTTTTGGGTGGGAGATGCTGTATGGCTCTGGGGCCTCATGGCTACCCTCTGGATCTGGCCCCATGGCTGCTCCCTGAGATGAGGGTCCTGCTGCCCACCAAACAATGGGACGAAGTAGCACCATGACACACCTAAGCCACACAGAGTGGCTTCACCACACTGGTCCTCAGCAGACATCTCCTCTGGCTGCATCTCACTGAGCCAGGTGGCAAAGTGCCCACCCTTAGGAGACCTAGGGATGGACAACCAAGCCGCAGCCAAGCCCAGCTAGGGAGCTTACCTTCCGTATTGACCATTCTGTAAACACTTCCCATGCGAAAATGCAGAGGCTGGTGCTTATGGAAGGGGTGAGGAGCATCACAACACCCTGGGCAAACTGTGAGGCCAAACATGGGATGGTTCACAAGCTTGGGCATCACAGTGCTGTGCAAGGGACAGACATGAGCACTACCTTGCACAAAATGACAGGCTGGTTTGGGTTGGAAGGGACCTTAAAGCTCATCCAGTTCCAACCCCCTGCCTCGGGCAGGGACACCTTCCACTAGAGCAGGTGGCTCCAAGCCCCTGTGTCCAACCTGCCCTTGAACACTGCCATGGATGGGGCAGCCACAGCTTCTCTGGGCACCCTGTGCCAGCACCCTCACAGGGAAGAACTTCTTTATATCTAACCTAAATCTCCCCTCTGCCAGGTTAAAGCCATTCCCCCTTGTCCTGTCCCTAAAGGCCCTTGTAACAAGTCCTTCTCCATGTGTTTTCTATAGAAGTCCCAAGCGATGCTTTCTAGCAGTATTTGACAGTATCTGGTTGATGGGGCTGGGAAGAGGAGATGCTGCAGCCCCACCAGCCCTGTCCTCCCCTCACTGCCCGGGACTAACCCTTGGCACCACCATGATCCCCAGATGTGGGGGCCACCAGCACCCTTTTGAGGATGCGCCACTTTCCTCCACAGCCTGCTGTCGATCAGAATGAGAATGGGCTGAAAAAGGACCCACCAAAAGGACCCCCCAAAAAACCCCTAGTGCAGGGCTGGGATTTGTACCCATCTGTCACCTCCTGCTACCACCTGGTACCCACTGTCTCATGGAGATGGGCCCCAGGTCTCTTCACCTTTATTTGACAACAACTTAAATTCCACTCCCAAAAGAGCTTCAGTATCTTGTCTCAAAAGGGAGTATTTCCAGCACCGAAACTCACTTTTACAGCCATACATCCTAAGTTCCTTTATGGTTTATTAAGTGGGACCTTCCCTGAGCATCCTCTTCCCTCCAGAGAGCCATGAGTGTCTCCCCTTGGAAACAGTGATTAGGACAGCAGTGCTCCAGGGATCTCGATTCAGTCAGATAAGACAGAGAACGTAACAAGGAAAAACACAAACTCTCCAATAAATGCATAAAGTTACTTTATTTTCAGTATACATTTAATTTTGAAAAATAGAAATGCTAAAATATCTCATCATCTTCATCTTTTGATTCCATAAAAGTCACAATAGAAAGCTTCATAAAACTGTAAAACACTATAATGTTATAAGGAATTTCATGGTTTTTATTACTGGAAAAAAAAATCATTTTAATATATTGAAATGTTTTCTGCTTTTTTTCTTATGTTCCACCATCTTGATCCACTTCATTTTACACGGTAATTTTTATTCTTTCCTCCAAAGCAAATACAGAGAATTTAAAACAATAACAAAAGTATCTGAAAGTGCGTGTTGATTCAAAACATAACAAAATAAAACCACAAAGACGTATCAGCCACGATGACAAGGAAGGGTGGGCTCCAGGGGCAGGGACAAAGGTGGCTGCAGCTGGTGGCCATCATGGGGGTCCCACTACGAGGTGTTGGGTTTGGTGTTGATTTTTAAAGAAACAACCAAGAAAGGAGCCGCCGCCGCCGCCAATGAAGTGCTGTCATCAGGCACCAGGAAAGGAAACACTTTTAGCTCCTGTCACCGGAGTTGGGTGTGTTTTTCATGGAAAGCTGCAGAAGCCTTTGTCCCGTCCCTTCAGCAACGCTCTGTACAACAGCTCCCTTGGGTTAAACCAAAAAACATAAAGTAAAAAAGAGAGAAATCTAGATCAGCAGTCAATACATTTCAAGTACATTTAACATGGTTCGGAAGTGGAAGACCTCACTTTCGTGGAGACGCATCACCAGGTGCCAGCAGATGGGAAGCCGCTTTGCTCTATCCACCTGGTTTGAGCTTTTCTCCGTCAAGTTATTGGGATTTCTACAAATCAAAGGTCTGGGCACAACACAACACGCTCTCGGCGCCTGTAGGCGATGCTGGAAGCTGTTTCCCCTTTGGGAGCCAGGGACTTGTGTTGACCAAGGGATGGAAGCCATCTGTTGAAGCCGGCACTGAGCTCTCCATGTTATCTGTCCTTCAAATAACCACAGAAGGCATCACAGAGCTGCTCCTCTGGCCATTTCTGACCTTTCCCAAGCCTTCCCGAAACAGATTCAGGCTAGGTTCCCAGGATGCTGATCCACGAGTCAACTCATGTTTCATGGAAGCCGGAACCAAGACCCCTTGGGAGCAAGTAGGGGAACGTACGGACGTGTGTGCACGTGTGTATGTGCTGTGCAGGTGCCTCTGCAGCTCCATCCTTTTTCGATTAAGTTCAAACTACCACGGTCTCAACCTTCAACCAAAGCCGTGTAGGGCAGTATGGTGGCCAGCTGCTCCTACAGTGCATCTGGGCAAGAAAAGCACAGCCCTATTCTGCACTCCCCTCACCAACGTGGCTACTACAAATGAGTGAATGCTAAAATTTGGCATAAAAGGTTTCAGCACCATCATGAAATTCTGTTTACTTAACCAGAACAGCATTCAGTTTTGAACAGAAAGCAGCAACGTGCCTGTCCTCTGCAGCAGGATTTTTCTCCATTGGGGAATTAGCCCTCACAGATGGGCTTTGTTCTTTTTTATTCTTCCACGAAGGTTTTAGTGTCTTATGTGTAGTCCTCATGTTTCATTAAAAAATGTCTTGACGAAGACATTTCCAATTTCCAACTTCCCAAATGCACATTTACATGCACACAGAGAGAAAAATAATCTCTCCCACGGTGATACTTACTCACTTGGTTTAAAACCAAAAGCCTGCTGAATGGATGGATGGGTCTAGGACCCTGCAGTCAAGATTTAGGGTAAATTCTCTAGATGATGGTGAACAGATGTGGGACGTAGAGGATGCAGATGTTTCTGAGCCTGGCAAACACAAGCGTTGGGATGACCATCCCAGTTGGCCAACCTCAACTGTCTTTCTCCTCCATTGTGCCATCAATGTGCCTGAAGTGCATTTGGGGTCTTCTCATGCATAGACATACACGCACTTGCACACATCCCCCTGTGTTTCAAAAGAAGTAATTTGTACAACACCGTGTAGGAAATCAACAACAGGAATACAATCAGCATCTGTCCACTGACGCCAGTAGCCAGTCACTAGTTTGCTTACCAACATTACATTTAAGACTGTTCCTAGATCACAAGAGATTTAAGTGACATCCCATCTCCTTCATAGTAAAGTTACTTACTAAAAATAAAATAACATAACCCTAAGTAAAATAGATGCTTCAGAGTAGAAGGTGTTAATCAGACTGATCCAGCCCTATGCCATGTCCTGGAGATTGTGGTGGTGTGGTTTTGTTTTTGTGGGTTTTTTCTTTGTAAAAATCACATTATATATGGTACAATACATTTTTTTTTGTACAGAAAGCCTGGCATCTAGAAATAAGAGGTAGAACTACTCAGAACTATATGTTTCCTGCTGCAGGAAAAATTCATTTTTCTTTACAGTAATTAAAAAAAGGTTAAAAAAATTGACAACAACAACAACAAAAAGTTGTAGGTTAGGCCCTCATAATTTAAACAAAATAATCTAGGAAAATAACACTCTTCCATGTACCTGACAGATTAAGTCCATTAAAGTGTTTCTTTAAAAACAAAAATTGCATAGGAAAGGGACATTTCGAAACACGTGCTACAGTGATGGCAATGGTTGGTCTGTGCTGGGAGTGAAGTACCTTTTCCTTTTCCTTCCTGTGTTAACTAAAAGTACAGGCTTTAAGAGCAAGTTAGTGTTAGCAGCACTTTCCAGCATCTTCCAGCAGGGTAAGCAAGGAATGAGCCTTGGAGGTCAGGTTCGTTCTGCCAGATGACAGTTGGACACAGAGACACTGATTCATGACTACAGTAACGCCGGTTCCTCTGCCATCTCCCAGGGGTATGACGTGGTATCCTTAATTCTTCTGCCCTCTGCTTGTGAATGAGGTGCATGTCGAAGTGACAGAGAAGGCAAAACGAGTCTTCATCAGTGTGGGAGAATCTGGTGAGGAGGGACCAGAGGAGACCTGCAGGGGCAAGGGTGGAGGGGCAGCGTGGGATGTCTCAATACCTATGCAGTGGGGAGTGGAGAGCATTTTAATGTTTGGCTAGTGACAAAACAAAATCCATAGAAGATTTGACAGACAGACACATTACAAAGTAGTTTCTGTTCCCTTGCTCCTCCAGAAATAACCATTGTCTTCAGGCTCAAGGTCTATTCTAATTTGAGGCACAACTTTTACTGGAGTTCGTGGAGGGCTGTGAAGAGAAAGAAGGACAAGGTGAACATGGGGACTTCCTCCAGGCTTCTTGGCCATTCTTAACATGGTCTGCCATGCTCAGAACTTCTGCCAGCACAGCTTCCCAGTGCCCAAATCCTGGGGGGAAAAAAAATCAGTCTTTACAAAGAAAACAGAGGGGCAACTGGGAAAACTGCAGATCCTGGGATTTACTGGGACACCCAATGGACAGTGTCACATCGAGCAATGGAACAAATGCTCGACTCCTAGAACCAGTTCCTTGCATTAGCACACACAAAACAGCTATCTGAAACTGGCAGCTTGTAGACACAAAGTAAATAACCTTGTCAGGCAGTGGTCATAGACAGTTTCTTAAGAGAAGGCCCATACATCACACAATAGTAACGAACTGGTCTAAACACTGCTCATGCCAGGACCAATTTCATGGACTGAGGAGCTCTAAGTATCCGGCACTTGTGCTTCACACCAAGCTGTGATAACACTCATCAACTGCCTTTGAAGTAATCTGGTTATAGCCACTGAGATAATCTTCACCCACTTGCCTGGAAGTGTAGATACTTCAAGCCAGGTTGGACAGGGCTTGGAGCAACCTGGTTTAGTGAAAGGTGTCCCTGCCCGTGGCAGGGGGATAGAACTGGATGAGCTTTAAGGTCCCTTTCAACCCGTTCTAGGATTCTATGATTTCAGAGAAGTATTACTGCCTTGGTGTAGAGCAGACTTCTGGTGCTGGGAGATCCAAGGGCTCAGCCTGGGCTGAGCTCTGAGCAATCATTACTTAACTCTACCCTGCTGCAATTTAAGGTTATTATGTGCTCTGTTTTCCACTACAAACATGGGAAAACAGATTACTCCTCTTTGCAACACCCTATTACATGACTGAAGGAAAGCACAGCAGGAGTTTTCTCTCACTGTCTGTCTCTTTTCTTTTCCTAAAGGCTAAACCAATCCAAATTATTTTAATTTTTCCCATGTAGATGTGTTTTTTAGACTCCTCTAAGTTGATCAACACCTTTCTTCTGGTTTTTAGACCCCAAGCCAGCCATAGGTACTGAAGTTGGGGTCTAATCAAGGCTGGTGGAGATCCCAGGGCTCCAGTTTCCCAATTCCAGCTCAGGATTAGAAATGCATAGAATCATAAGATGGTCTGGGTTAGCTGGGACCTTAAAGTTCATCTAGCTCCACATCACTGCCACGGGCAGGGACACCCTCTCCTAGACCAGGTTGCTGCAACCCTGTGTTGGGAATTCTTTCCACGTGCTTTTTAAAAGTTTCCTACAAGTAAACAGAAACTTTGCCTCATTGACTTTTGGTATAATGAAGAGTAATTGAAATGGTTTTGAGGCATCATTATGAAGCATTTTTTGGGGTGCTTACCTTGGCATGGTGTGTGATTGAAGGAAAGGAATTGTATCAGCACGACGTATGGCGTTCAAGGAATGTTGGTGATTTTTCTCCTGTTGGGAAGAAAGGCTTGTTTGTCATTGCCTGCAGCACTGATGGCTTCTCCAAGCCCAGCCTCAGTTTCTCCGTCTATTTGGCAATGCTTTTTTACTGCTGCCTGCCAGATGAATTTCACACCTTGTAAGTAAAATCACTCCTTTTCTCTCTCTCTCAGCTCCAAGATGAAATCCCCTGAACTGCCAACATGACCAAAAGCCTCATTTCCTAAGACTTTCACCACCTTTAGGTCTTGACACTTACCTTTTGCCTACACCTCTTTAGTTACCCTGCACTCCTCACTGTTGCACCCAAACTCCTCCTGAGAAAATAGGTGGTTTCTTGCCTTTTATGGCTTTCCTTTCCTGACCCACCATGGGGAATTGTTCTCTCTGTTAATAATAATCCTGTTCTTGCTATTGCTGAAGGAAAGCTAATGTCAGTAGTATTATTGTACTATAGTAAGATGCCTTGAATCGCAGAGCTCAGCTGTAGACAAGGACAATACCACAGTCTTGCTGGATTCCAGGTATTTTTCTAATCCAAGGGCCTGATTATTTTTCTTTTTTTTTTTTTTGCATAGTTTCTAATTAAAAGCAGGCAATCAATTACTAGATTATAAAAATGTACAAACAATTGTAGGCAAACCAACTACTGCTCTGCTCATGGGTGATTTACCCTGTGCTGTTTCAATGCACATTCCAACAAACAGGTTTACATCAAAATTATCTTTTTCTTACCTGTTTCAGCCTCAAATATATTGGAAACAATGCATCTGATTATAAAATCCTGGGTAACAATATGTAGGATGAAATTCGGGTGTAGCACATCAGGGCGTTTGCACAGAAAAATCAGGAGGATCTGTTTGGATTTCCTTTTATTGTTCTTATCAGCAAAACACTGAGAATATCTAAATAGTCAGGGAAATGCCTCTTTCTCTGTGGTGTTGTTTTATAATGCCAATCCCTAAGTGTTTCTGTATCTAAAGGTACACAGGGCAAGGTTTAGGATTGCCTAAGGCATCTAAATGCCACCAAAAGCAAGCAACTTGGGTACCAGCTCTTAAACTCAAATGATAGTTTAAGGATCTAAAGATCTGTGGGTTTAGGTCGCCCTCCTAGAAACCTCTACCAGCCTTACAGCAGCACTCATTTATTACTATCATTTGTATTTCTCCACTCCTGCCTAACGACAAACCAGCCTATTGATCTCCAGGTGTGTTTCAGACCAGGTTGGACAGGGCTTTGAGCAGCCTCGTCTAGTGGAAGGTGTCCTTGCCCATGTCAGGGGGTTGGAACTAGACGAGCTTTAAAGTCCCTTCCAACTCAAACCAATTTGTGAGTCTATGGATCCTATTGCTCACTGTATTTTAAAAAGTCAGGGCAAAGGCAAAAAAGCTAAGGTCAGTTGTTATTCCCAGCCCCTCACTTAAAAGACTATAATATGGAAAGTTAAAATGTCTGAAAATAAAGATGGTAATAACCAATTACAAGTATTAAGGTAAGAAATTAATAAATAAACCGAATAGCGCAAAGGCAAATCACCTAAGAAGGGAAATACGTTAATGGTCAACTGACCACTGCTTTGCCAGTGTAATGTGCAATCAACGACATGCTTAATTATTCTTTTAAGCACTGATTTTTGCAGCTGCTTGGCACTAAGGAAGCAAACAGTAACAAGACAGCAATGCAGTTTAGACATGCTGCAAATCCAGAACACCAGGCTTGGAGGAAAAAAATCAATCAAACCATCAGCAGAGTTAACACAAAACAGGAAGGGTCAGAAAAGAGAGCAGGAGAGCGGCCAAGAGACCTGCTAGTAGCTGGATAAAAGTGCTTAAGCTGGAGGCACCAGAAGGAACAACATCAAATTTGTAATGAGAAAATAAAAAAACCTTCACAACCCCAAAATCTGTCATTAATCAGAGGCCTGGAAATTAAAAATGAGAAAAAAACCCCCAAAAAACCCAAGAAAAAGTAATTCTCAAGTAATAGGAAGGCTGGTTTGTTTCCTGTTTTAAATCATTCTAAATATAGATAAATTTTCGTACTGCAAGTCAGAGTCAAGCAGGCATGCAAGAGGTTAGTTCTACTCACTGTCAGCAGGTTTGCTACCACTTAGGAAAGGTTCCTGCTCCATGATGTCCATTGGTATTTTAATACTTGGGACTTTTTCTGAGTAGGGGCAGTCAGACTGTGAAAGAAACGTGTAAAAGGTCTTAGAACATTTTCACTGCTCGCTCCCTTATCGTCTCCCGCAAATTAAAATTATCCTTCACATAGTTTCTGTAGGAATGAGGAAAAGAAAAGAAGAAAAAATCAAAAGGCATCGTCTAGCTTAGTTGCCTGCTGGTTTCCACTGCCTCCCCTTGCATCCCACTTTCCCTCTTCCTTCACACTAGGAAAGTAAAACAGATTGAAGGAATAATCTGGTGTGATCGTTCTCTTCCCTTTTCCCCACCTCACTAGCTCCTTTGCCACCAGCTTATAGGACAAAATCCAGTTCATCTTGGAGTTCGCTGCAGGAAATACTGATGGAAAATGCATTTGTAGGCAACAACAGCAGGACATTGCTCAGCAAAACATTTTATTCTGCTGTGATTTCTGAAAACCCCCTTTTTTCTTCCCAGTTGCTCAACAAGGATGAGGGCAAGACATGATACAGCAGCTGGAATGTCTCAACTCCCTTTTAACTTAAACTGAGTCAAACCCAGTCTTAATCACACCTCTATTTCCAGTAAAATAGTTCATCAAATAAAGCACCCTTCTAAGAATTCAGTGCTCCCAGCCAGCTGGGAGAAACTGATCAAGAAGAGGCACAAGTATAGAGATAAACCGTACTCAAGAGCCTCTGGAGCTTGGGTCCCAGCATCATTTATACCCCAGTGGCTTCAATAACCCACTTCCTTACGCTTACTAGAAGGCACTTGGAGTTAATTTGCTTTTTCAATGTAAAAGTAACGTCTAATAGCCAAGGAAAGGCTGATATTGCATAACTTGGCAAAGGAAGTGAGATGTTTGCCAGAAATGTTAACGTATCTTTGTTCCTGGAGAGAACTAAACACAAGCACAAGGCTGGTGTGGAGGGAAACCTTTGAATCAGGGCAAGAAAACACTGCAGAGGCCAGAGAATCCCTCTCCCTGTATTATTATTATTATTATTTAGATTATTTTTTAACACAACCGACATCAGTGCAGCATTTCATATTCCAATAAGCAAAAATGTATCCTCAGGAGCATTTTTCTGAGGCTGAGGGATACCCACAGCTCGAATAAAGATAAGCTTGCTGAGCAACGAAGCACTGAGGCAATGAAGCCACCCCCAAATCCCAGAGCATAAGAGTTGGGTAACTTCACCAACATATTAGCACTGTCTCAGTGCTAACAAATCAATGTAAGAAGTCTGTGGAAAAGCAATGCTGATGCTCAGGGTCTACTTTAGATTCTCCCATCTAAAATGACCAAAGAGACAGACGAAACATCTGCAGTTTGCAAAAACACCCCAAAAGGAAGAAAAGACCCTGACACATCACTTCTGAGCGAAAATTAATACACTAGCCCTTATATACTACTTCTTTCTTCAATAAAAATACTGTCTGGCCTTTCTTGACTCAGGCATTTTTTGACGTAGAAGTGGAGAGGAAACAGAGGTGCTTGAGTTTTCATTTGGCAAATGGAGCAATTAGTTTGTGGGGGCATATTTCTGGAAGGGAAAGGGTAAAAATAATGAAAACAATAATGCCAAGTGCTCTATGTTCAGGAAGCTGGTAAAGGCAGTGCTGAAAATAAAACAAGAAGAGTTAAGAACCAACATTTTGCATAAATTCTCTTACCCATTAGATCAATTACTGTACCTGAAATTCATTAAAAGTCTGAGAAAGGAGGCCATAGCTTAGAACATACTGGAAATACAGAAAACCACGGCTCAGGACATGGTGCTGCCGGATTCAAATCAGTCAAGAGGAGGGGATGAAGTCAAACCTTTGCTGACTATTCTCTATATACAGTAGGGCATTTTGCCTCATTTTGGTTTGCACCAAGTTATCAGCTGGTGAAGCCCTTGGCTCCCAGGAGCTGAAGGAACGATGGGAACAGGGAGCTTGCTGTCTGAAATAAGAGCCAATCTCCCTAGCTGGGATTCAGCTTTGATTTTACAAGGTGTGGATCCAGGCTATCTCTTACAATGCTGCACCCTCACCTCTAAGAAAGTCCAAGTTTTGCCTCTTGCAGTGTACATACTCCACTTTAGACACCATATACTATTTGTCCAAAGGTCTTTGCATATTTTCTCATTGCAATACCCTGACTTTGTTGCCTCTAACACAGATCTGCAGAGGTGTTATATAGCTCTCATATAAAGGACTCAGTTTCTACCTTGTCTTCCACCAATACTGAGGTTGTCTTCTCTGTTGACCCAACCTTGAGCAAGACCAGGCATTGGGATGGTCTGGGGGAACTCCTGGAGCTGCCATTTTTCTCTAAAGGACACCAGATGTACTATCTACCCCACAAGGAGGGCTGATAAGGTCAATGTGCTCATTGCAGGAAGGATGCACATGATACCCCCAGCACAAATCCTCCAAACACAGAGCGAAGCTCAGTCAGTGACCTGGGCAGGGGGCTTGAGGAAGGGCCAGCTGACTTTTCCTGCTGCCTGCCTCCTCCCAGAGAGCAATCCCTTCTCATTTCTTTCTCCTGCTGTATTAAAATGGCCTTATTTTTTTCCAGCTTTGGGTCATTTTACCTCTGCCTGCATCATAGAAAAGCCCTTCTTCAGGAACCCAGGCTGTTACACAGTAGTATTTGAGTTCATGCTAGACCTGGGTAGGAGAATGTTCAAAGGCACAAGGACTACATTTCTTCTTCTTTTATATACAGGAAAAAATAGAACAACCTAAGGCACAAGGATCTGGTCTAGGCAGGTCACCTTGCTCAGCAACGACATAAGCAGCTTCATTTCACTAGTTTAGGGCATTCTGCAACCTGAGGTAGGACTAAGGAGTATGCTGCATAAGGGCACGTATGCTTTGGAAATACTTAGGTCATGAGTATTATCACCAGAAAGCGGTCTTGCCTGCAGTGTGACAAGTCACATATATTTGCGCCTTTAAAAAGAGCAATTAAAGAAGTATCAAAAACGGAAACCAGAAAATATCCAGAAGCACCAGAGCTGCTGGTGAAAACCATTCTCCTCCTAAAATGTAAAAGACGGTGACAGCAGAGAAAGGCGGAGGAGGGCAAGATGAACATGGCAGGGTGATGAAAAGCGTTCTCGTAAAGGGCACGACATCTCAGCAGGTATTTAGTGTTCTTGTGGAAAGTGTGATTTCATTTTTGGCAATGCAAGTATGACCTACCACAGGCTGGTGACATCTGGAAAAGGGAAGGCAATGTAGAAAAGGAAGTTTGTTTGCTGCAGCAGCAAAAAACTGAGCTGGGGACGGGCATGGACTGTCCCCTGGGATTACCTAGCTAGGAATGAGTGAGTTGACAAGACCAGAAAGCTTCTTACATCATCATTGTCACTGTCCACACTGCCCTTCTTTTTCTTCTTCTTCTTCTCGTCCTCTTTCTTTTTCTTGTCCTTTTCTGGAATGACGTCGTCAAGAAAGCTTAAGTCATGCTGGGAGAAGAGGTAGTCCATGGCTTTTCTGACTGCTACAAGTGCCAGGATCTGAAAAGGCAGAGAGGGACATCTCAGTCACAATTTACTTTTAATTGGGAACAGTGTGCATTCCTCTTTATGCTGCTTCTTAATCCCACACGCTTTAATTCTGGTTGGAAATAAACATACTACCACCAGATGCCTCCTGAGATCACAAAGGGGACACTCACAGGCTGAAAACTCAACTTGGCTACTAACAGATATAACCCTGACAACTGCAGACTGCCTTTGAGATGAAAAGTTTGTTCTGAGCAACGATGATCAACGGCACAAACAACTCCTGGGAAAGGATCTCAAACTTTGACTTGCATAACTCAAGGCGCAATTACAGAAGTAAGAAATTACTTAGGGGGTGGAAAGATGCCACGTAGACACCTGTGATTATCCTGTTATGAATTCCTTGTGTATTAAAAGTGCTTTTCCTGCACATAAACAGAGGTTTGGCTATCGGCTGGATCTTCACAGACTGGAAGTTTATAGCCTTTTTGTGCGTGAGTGCAAATAACTGAGGTTTTGTCATCAGACCCAGCTACCTCTAAGCTGTGACTGTATAGTACTGAGTCTGCACCATTATAATAAACTTCAGCAGTTTTCAGTTCACTTGTATGCTGTTTTATAGGCAAAGAGTGTCCAGACCTTAGATTCAGCTTTCAACAGCATGAACATGCAATGGAACAGTGTTTCAGTGGGAACTGCTGATCTTTAACGCCTTTATACATGAGCATGTGCCCCAGCAAGAACATTTGGAGGATTTTTTTCACTTGCATCATCTTTTCTCTTCTCATTTCACCAGCAGCAGAGAACAAATGCTTGACCTTGTTCTGTTTTCTGCTTTCCCTTTCCTAACTGCACCCACAACTGAAATTCTACTTGTCTGTAAACCTGAAAGCAGGTGACACTGGGCCCAGATTTCTTCAGGGAGTTTCCTAAAATCTCAACTTTGCAGCAGTCTGACCCATGTCCATACCAGAGACCAGACTTGGCAGAATCTTTGTGCATGCAGCTATGATCCCATTGGATCCACGCTCAATCCATCTGGCCCATGGGCACAGAGGTGGAGAAGGATCTGCTCTGTACTCCCTCATTTAATGTCATTGTCCCAGGTTTTGATGCCTGAGGCAAAGTGTACATATAAACTCCTCATAGCACTTGTTTTGTTTCCATTTAGAATCATAGATTCATAGAATAGTTAGGGTTGGAAAGGACCTCAAGATCATCCAGTTTCAACCCCCCTGGGACACCACCCACTAAACCATGTCGCCCAAGGCTCTGTCCAACCTGGCCTTGAACACCACCAGGGATGGAGCATTCACAACTTCCTTGGGCAACCCATTCCAGTGCCTCACCACCCTCACTGTGAAGAACTTCTTCCTTATATCTAACCTAAACTTCCCCTGTTTAAGTTTAAAGCCATTACCCCTTGTCCTACCACTAGAGTCCCTAACGAAGAGTCCCTCCCCAACATCCTTTTTTGGTGTAAGTGCCTGTGTCTATACCTCTAGCAACAATCTAAATGCACAAAAAGCTGTTTCGCTATCCCCCTGCTATCAAGGTGTCCTGGGTTCAGCTACAGCAG